CCCCAAAACCCCAAAACCCCAAAACCCCAAAACCCCAAAACCCCAAAACCCCAAAACCCCTAAAAGAAATATTTTGCTGACATTTATCAATATTTTATATAATAAAGATGAAAATTCTATGAGGTAAGCACTATTTAGTTTTAATTGCATTCTTCAACTTGTTTGACTTAGATTTAAATCAGTTTTCCAGGACTTTAAAAGGTCGAAATTTTTAGAAAATTCTGTAAAATTTCAGGAATGTTCCTAATGACACTAAAAATAGCCTAATTTGGTATACTATTGTTATAATTTTAGTTGGAAAGCCACCAAAACAAAAATTCGTACAAGAGAAAACTTTCAAAGCAAAAATAATAAAAATATTTCTGATGCTCTTGATGAGTTTGAACTTCTCGTACGCAATCATTGGAGAAGAGACAATCAATAGAAACGCTCATGAAGTTCTCAACCCCTTCCTCGTCTTTGGGTTCAAGAAAGGGGGCTTTTTGAGAGGTACAATCCGATATATTAAAGAAGACGTTCCTATCGAGCTCTTTGTCTGAAAATAAAGAGAAAATCACAGATATTTACACCGAACAGATGCAGGTGGAAGAAGTCTTCGATATTTTCAATAAACATAACACAGTCAATAGGTTAACCAACAATTGAGCTGAAGCATCAGAAAAGCTAAGGGAAAGATGCTCTTATTTTTCTATCTATGATGATTTGCAAAACTACAATGTCTTTGTTAATACAAATAAGAGACTGCTTAGTTATAACATCGATACTGCAAAGGAAGGACCAGTTATTAATAGGACTCAAGATATCCCTAACTGGGTCTATCTTTATGAAGATTTTGAGAGATTAGTGCAAGTTCAGTATGAAATCAAAGACAGTGGATTCTATCTCTTCTTCGCTACTAATTGCAAAGAATCATCTACTGACATCTCGCTTACTTATAAAGCTTTAAATCCAGGAAAGGAGCATCTTTCTGTAGACTTAATCCCAAACAAATTGACTTACTTGATCTTTTTCATCACATGGATTATAGTATCGGCGATCAGCTGTCTGATGATAAGCTACAGAATCTTTAAAAAGCAGAATCTGAGCTATCTATCTATTCTGATCCTATGTTCTTATTTTATGATAACTTGCTACCTTATCCTTCGATATGTTTATTGGGCACTTATCTCTTGGCTTGGGAAAGTGAGTATCTACTTTGAAGGATCTCTAATTTTGCTGGAAGTCTTAATTATGTTGGTATACCTGATTATCATTAACCTTGTAGCCAATGGATACAAAATCGTAACAGATTCGTTCAGCTGGGGAAGGTTTACCAAAAATCTGGTCATTATGCTTCTGATTGTATTTACGTCATTCTTTGTTCAATTTCAGAATTTGTTCTTAATGATATTCCTTGTAGCTGAGGTAATAGTAATGGTGATATTTCTTTATGTTGATATAAAATCCTGAATATCGAAACTCACTCAGATAAACGAAGAATTGAACCCAATCTTCGTTGAAGAAAGGGAGGCGAGGGATTCAAATGACTTTAAAATCAAATACTACAAATCATTCATAATTTACTTAATAATTTATTTCTCCATGGAGGAAACAGTCCTGTGTTTGAGGCCGTTTCTTGCTCCATATCATGAATGGATCTTTGCATTAGTACAGCAAATTATTAACTTAGTGAGCATGACGTTTCTGTTCGTCACACTAACTTATTCGATAGAGTTCATTAAGTTTGAAGGGATACAAGATGGAGCTCGGGTGGCTCCAAATCCATATTTCAAGAATCGAATTTTAAAAATATGCGGTGAAATTATCGCCATTAAATCTGTTGATGAACATGGTAATTTCAGCATAAATCTTGGCATTGAGTCCAACCAAGGTATTATGCTTAAAAATTCAGGGAAGAATTATATCTCTGAACGAGCCAGAGTTTATCAAACAGCGTTCAACAGAGCTTCGCTTTGAATTGACAATAGCGTAAGTCTAATGCACTCCAACCGAAATTTCGCCTGAGATGCTGGAGAGAAACATAACATCTGAAGCATGATCCAGAACATCCACGAGGAAGATAAAGAAGAGAGGAAAATAAGAGATGATCTTACCGACCCTGAAAAGGGAGAAAATATTGAAAAAGTTGCACTAACGGAGTATCTAGACCTTGATTCCAATCTATTTGAATCCCAGGACGTTAGAGACTTTAGAAACTGCAGAGGTAAGAGCTTTAGGGTCTCTCAAGGACTATACGGATAGATCAAAATGATCAGAGTGTTGGATTTTGTTAATAATCAACTTTAAAACAAATAACTAAAAATAAAATAGCTGCCATTTTCGGAATTAATTTAAATTTAGCTCCCAAGATAGCCAAGCCATCTTGATCAAAGAAAGAGGGATCATTCCCATGGATGAACTTGAAACAAAAGAGTGTTTTGAGACGCCAATCAATATCTTGTGCTAGATCCCAAGACACTGAAAGTAATAAAAGAAGCCATCACCAAGATCATCATTTTTCAAATGATGAAGAATCTTAAGCCTTAATTATTAGCCCACAAGCTAGTTTTTATTTAATAGTCCTTTTTAATGCCTAATTGTTTCTTCCTATAGTGAAATTCTCTATCTCAAAGGGTGAACAGGTTCCTCCACATGGGGAACTTTAGAAAATATCTTTCTAATGCACGCACCAGTAGTCCCATTCTATTTCTGCTGTAAAATCCAATTTCTTATTATTCGTGTTTAATCAAAAACCAGCAGTTCTGATGAGGATTTTACCAACAGAAATCGGGAGATTCCAAAAGTAATCTTCCCTCTAACCCCCTAAGGAGAATGTCCAACCCATAGGTCCTTAGACTACTTTATCATGCCGGTGTACACACTGGTGATTATTTTCAGCTACATAAGACGAATAGACATTAGAAATTGGTTGTTTTATTTTCTGGTGTCTTCGTTCAACCTCTGTTTTATTCGTAGGGGTTTTGGGGTTTTGGGGTTTTGGGGTTTTGGGGTTTTGGGGTTTTGGGG